TTGAAAGTAGAAATAGATATTTGGCTCTTGTGATTTCATATATATATATATATATTATATATGGCTCCTCTCTCCCAAACTTCGGTTCTGAGGCAGTGCTGGTGCTGGAATGAAGGAACATCCAGAGTCACTGATGTGACCTGAACCTGCTACCACTGGTCTTCCTCTGTTGTGAGGAGTTAACTTCAGATACACATGCTAATTCACATGATTTTATTTAATCATTAACCTAAAATTGAAATAGGAGCAATCATGTCTAAGAAATACTGGCTAATGTACCAGAAATCTTCTGTTGCTGCTTCTGTTCCGGAAGAGGGTGTCAGATACCCTTGGAACTGGGGTTATAGACCCTTGTGAGCTGTCATGTGGGTGCTGGGAACTGAATCTGGGTCCTTTGCAAGAATAGCAAGTGCTTAGCTTTTGGTTTCTTGACTTTATTTAATATAAAGTATACATTTAAGGGTGCTAACTTCACAAAACTGAATTGGCAAAGAAAGGTAGTTAAACTTTGGGACCTGGGATCATCCCCAGAATGTAAGTAAAAAGCCCTGAATGCTGGTATATTTGTACTCCCAGTCCTGGGGAGACAGAGACAGGAGGATCCCTGGGGCTTACTAGCCAGCCAGTTTTGTCTAATCTGTGAGTCAGCCCCAGGCCTCAGTAAGACCCTGTCTCAGAAAACAAGGTGGACAGTGTTTGAGGAGGAATGACAGTGGAGACTGCCTTCTGCCCTCCATACACACACAAAGCGCTTTGGAACTGGGTGTGGTGGTGTGTTCCTGTCTGTAACCCCAGTGCAAAGAAGGTAGTGGCAGAAGGGTCAGGAACTGGAGGCCAGTCTTACCTACATAGCTAGTTTGAAGCTAGGTGGGCTATGTAAGATCCTGTCTGAAAAAAAGAACAAAAACACCTGGACTACAGAGATGACTCAGTGGTTAAGAATACTTGCTCTTCCCAAGGACCCAAGTTCGGATCCTGTCACCCATATGTGGCTCACAAGTGTTTGTGACTCTAGCTTGGGTGAATCTGATACCTGTCCCCCCAAGGCACCCCCACATGTGATTTGTATTCATATATATAAATAAAAAATTTTAAAGCTGTTGAAAAGTTGATCTAGCATATGTAATAACTAACTTAAAAAATTTTTAGGCTGGATCTTAACTGTAACTGACTGGCTTAGAACTCAGATCTGCCTCCCTCTCCCTTCTGAGTGCTTGGATTAGTAGCATGGACCACCACACTTGGAAACTTTACTTATGTACATATGCTTGAATGAGTTTATGTGTATGAACCTGCAGAGCAAAAGCATCAGACTTCCTGAAACTAAAGTTCTGGATGGTTGTGAGCTCACTTGCAGGTGCTGGGAACTGAGCCCTGGTCCTCTACAAGAGTAGTAAGAGTTCTCAACTGCCGAACCATCTGTGTAGCACCAACAACTTAGTTTTATTGATGAAAATTAGTAGCTCTTGATAGAAGGTTGTATATTTTCTTATTTTGGGCTATATTAAAGGATTTTGTTTTTTTGAGGTAGTGTCTCAATGTCCAAGTCTGGCCTTAAACTATGTAATCAAGGTTGGCCTTGAACTTGTGATCCTGAGTGCTGGCATTACAGATAAGTGGCACCATACCCAGATTGTACTTCCCATGATGGGCACGTGAGTCAGGGAGGGAGATCCACAGATGGGTTGATGTAGGGGTGAACTCGTGTGGGGAGAGGTGAAGAGCTACCTGGATTCCAGGAATATAACATTCCTGAATATTTCTGAATGTTTTAATACTTAAGTGTACTTTGTCTAGCTGGTTTTAGCATATGTTTGAGAGTTGTCTATGTAGTTGCATATATTTGTACACGCTTATTGCCAAATAGACTCCCAACGTGAAACATACTAATTTATGCTATAGAAGAATATATGGACTGTTTATTAGTAGTATTGTATAAGTTTTCATTTCTTTTGAATAAATATGGAAGTTAGATTGGGGCGATAAGGTAGAAAATGTATGTTTAAAAAATGTTTTTGATTAAATTCATATATGTTTTGCTTGCATGTAAGTGCATGCAGTGCATGTAGAGGCCAGAAGAGGGCATGAAGTTCCCTAGAACTGGAGTTAGCAACTATGTGGGTGTTGGGTACAGATTCTGGCCCTCTGCAAGGGCAGCCACTGCTCTTAAGCCATCTCTCCAGCTCGAAAATGTCTACTTTTTAAAGAAACTGCCAAACCAGGCGTGATTCTCACCTATGAACATAGCATTTGGATGGCTGGAGGCAGAAGGATTGCCCAGAGTTCCTGATCAGCTTTGATTGAGACTACTTTAAGAATTAAGTGCCAGCTGGGCGTAGTGTCGCATGTCTTTAATCCAGCACTCAGGAGGCAGAGAGTACTACATAGTGATTGTTCATTTTGTGTGGGAAGGCATGTGTGGTGGTCAGAGGACAACTTGTAGAAGTTGGTTCTCTTCTACCTTGTGGGTCCCAGGAATTGAACTCAGATGGTGACCTAACCCATCTCACCAGCCCTGTTTTTAGCTTGACTTTGTAGTGCTGACTGACCTGTAACTCAGAGATCTACTGCCTCTTGAGGACTCTGGAGTGCTGGGATTAAAAGCGCGTACTGGGGCTGGAGAGATGGGTCTGTGGTTAGGAGCACTGGCTGCTCTTGCAAAAGACCCGGGTTCAGTTCCCAGCACCCACATGGGGGCTAACACCCATCCCTGACTCCAGTCCCAGGGGATCAGATGCCCTCTTCTCACCTCCATATGCATTGTATGCGTGAGAGCACTTAACATTCATACAGTCAAAACACAAAAAATAAAAGTAAAAATATTTTCAAAAGCATGTGCCACCATCTCGGCTCTATCTTTAACTTTTTAAGGAAACTCCATTCTAATTTCCATAGTGACTAGAGTAGTTCACTTTCCTACTAGTATTGTATAAGGGTCCCCTTTTGTCCATATGTTCAACAGCATTTATTTTTCAAACTATCTCTAGCCCAAGTTGTCTCAGTACTCACTATGTCAGTGCAGGCTGACTTGCTTCATCCTAATTGTGCCTCAGTCTCTCAAATCCTAGACTATTTTGCCCATTTAAAAATTATTATCAAATAAATGAAATCTGACAAAACTTGTAAGGACTCTTTCTGTGGCTGCTTATTTAATGTGCATTAATACTTTTCTTCTAGGAATTTTTTTAGTTTGGCTATGCGCACAAGTGTGCTTGCCACATATGAGGGTACACCTGCCTGTAGAGGCCAGAGGTCAACACTGAATGCTGTCAGAAGCTATATGCACCTTGGAACCTGAGGCTCACTGATTAGTTAGACTGGCAAGTCCCAGAGATCACCGTCTCCACATACATAGTGCTAGGATAGTAATTGCGTACCACCTCTGCCCAGCTTTTTATGTGGTTTAGGGGAACCAAACTCTGGTCTTTTTTCAAATATAGATTTGGTTCAGCATCTTGTTGAAAATACTACCTTTCTACTTTTTTTTTTAGTTTTTCCCTTCAAGATTCTTTCCCTACTTTAAACTTTTTTTCAGGCATTTTCCTGAAATGACAGAATTTGGGGCTGTCCGTTCATGACTAAGAATAGAGAGTTAGACTGGATGTGGTGACACCTTCAGTTGCAGTTCTCATAGGCAGAGGCAGGCGGGTCTCTTGAGATCAAGGCCAGCCTAGTCTATATAATGAATTTCAGGCTAGCTGGGGCTACAGGAGACCCTGTCTCAAAAAAGCAGAAGTGGAGCAGTAGAGTAGGGAGTTAACATGTAAGCTCTGAAGGCACGATGTCAAGCTTTTTTCTTACAATTAGCTTTTTAAAGTTGATGTATGAAAGGGCCAGAGAAACGGCTCGGTGGATAAGAGCATTGGCTGCTTTTGCAGAGAACCAGGGTTCAATTCTCAGCACCCACATGGTGACTAACAACTGTCCATAACTCCAGTTCGGGGGATCTGACACCCTCTTCTGACCTCAGGCATTGCACGACATGGGTGCACTTACATACAGGTAATACACTGACACACAAAATAAATCAATTTAAAAATTAGCATATGGAGTGATGGGTTTCATGGTGGCATTTTTACACATACTTTTTTCTTGTTCTCCCTTCTTCTGCTTTCACGTCACGTGTTCTATTATTCTATTACCCCCCACACACACTCTCTTAAGATTTCTTTTCCCTCATCTTTCTAGTTCCATGACCTATATACCCATTTCCTACACACATGTATACATATTTTAAAATCTGAACTGGGGATGTAGGCTGGCTCAGTATGCCTATAATGCACAAAGCCCTGAGTTCAAACCCTAGCACTCCATAAAGCGGGTATAGTGGTATACACAGGGGATTTGAGGCCAGCCTCAGCTATATGAGACTTTGTCTCAAAAAAAGATGATCAAGCCAGTAAGATTGATGAGCAGGTAAAAGGCACTTCTTGCCACCAAGAATGTTAACTTGAGTTCAATCCTCTGCACTCAACGTGGTGGAAGGAGAGAACCAATTCCTGCAAA